GCTTCACAGTAGGTATGGTGTTCTTTGGATAGGTATGGCATTCTTTGTCCTCCAAACACGACGAGTTGAGTTTTTACCAAAGAGTTATATTTTGGTTTCATCTGACCATATGACATTCTCCCAATCCTCTTCTGGATCATCCAAATGCACTCTAGCAAACTTCAGACGGGCCTGGACATGTACTGGCTTAACAGGGGGACACGTCTCGCACTGCAGGATTTGAGTCCCTGGCGGCGTAGTGTGTTACTGATGGTAGGCTTTGTTACTTTGGTCCCAGCTCTCTGCAGGTCATTCACTAGGTCCCCCGTGTGGTTCTGGGATTTTTGCTCACCGTTCTTGTGATCATTTTGACCCCACAGGGTGAGATCTTGCGTGGAGCCCCAGATCGAGGGAGATTATCAGTGGTCTTGTATGTCTTCCATTTCCTAATAATTGCTCCCACAGTTGATTTCTTCAAACCAAGCTGCTTACCTATTGCAGATTCAGTCTTCCCAGCCTGGTGCAGGTCTACAATTTTGTTTCTGGTGTCCTTTGACAGCTCTTTGGGCTTGGCCATAGTGGAGTTTGGAGTGTGACTGTTTGAGGTTGTGGACAGGTGTCTTTTATACTGATAACAAGTTCAAACAGGTGCCATTAATACAGGTAACGAGTGGAGGACAGAGGAGCCTCTTAAAGAAGAAGTTACAGGTCTGTGAGAGCCAGAAATCTTGCTTGTTTGTAGGTGACCAAATACTTATTTTCCACCATAATTTGCAAATAAATTCATTAAAAATCCTACAATGGGATTTTCTGGATTTTTTTTCCTCAATTTGTCTGTCATAGTTGACGTGTACCTATGATGAAAATTACAGGCCTCTCTCATCTTTTTAAGTGGGAGAACTTGCACAATTGGTGGCTGACTAAATACTTTTTTTCCCCACTGTATACCACTTAGCTAAGAATGACGTGAATAATCAAGTCAATAAACGTTGGGTAGTTAGTTAGATGGCATATAGTTAATATACTGCCTGGCAAGATCGATGTATTAGTAGCCAACTAACCTTGGGTAGCTAGTTAACATACCGGTACATAGTGCTGTAATGCTATGCGGTTCATAAGGATAGCGTAGCTAACAAATTGTCAGCCAACATAACGTGTAACGTAACTTATTTGAAAAGTTATTACTTTATTACATTGCTCTACATTTTTTAAACATTTGTCATAATTAGTTAAAGCAATGAATTTGTATCTACTCTCGTCGGACTTCGGCTGTATATTTTCCCCCATTTTCTTGAAATCTAAAAACGTTCTGAAGCCACGGCCATTTTCTGAACAACTGCATTATGGGCCCTGAAAGCACGGAAATGGTGTCCACTGCTTGTATACTTCGTATTTTGGAGAATTTAGTTTGATATCCGGGAACTTTTGGCATACTAACTATATCCATACTCTGACCAATAAGCATACTACATACTCAATTTACATCACAAATAGTATGGTTGGTGCGGTTAGTATGAGTATTCAAAGACAGATAGTGTCTCCCATTACAGTGAAAAATGAGGTGAAATGAAGGTGTGGCCTTCCAGCAGGTAGAGACCAGGGCACCATGGTTACCCGGAATGGTTTACATATCCCCACGACAATAGTGGAGAGCTCTAGAGACAATACCATGGTTACAACACAGTAGAAACTGTAGAGAAGGACAGCTTGGGTACTGGGCTTGTATTTACTGTATGCTGAACACCTAGTGGACTAGAACAAACAAAACCAACCCCACAAACGACTTCCTGGAAAACATGTTTTTTGTCTCTGACGTCCCACTGGTTAACATGTGAAGCATACACACATCAGACGTTGAACATTCTGAGAAGTGCTGACAGAATGCATGATCAATCTGAAAAGAGTATGCCGGTATCATCAAAACAGATTTTTATGAATGTATTTTAGAATAATAATAATAATATGCCATTTAGCAGACCCTTTTATCCAAAGCAACTTACAGTCATGCGTGCATACGTTTTTGTGTATGGGTGGTCCCGGGGATCAAACCCACTACCTTGGCGTTACAAGCGCCGTGCTCTACCAGCTGAGCTACATTATAGATCCTGGTTTAGTAAGTTAACATCACACAGCAGAAACAACTAGTTATCAAAGCCCTTCACGTAGTGATATCGGTTCAGTCTCTATTCATTTTATAGCACCTGTACTCACTCTTATGTGAGTCCCAAATGACACCCTACTCCCTATATAGTGCACTACTTTTGGGCTTGGGTCAAATTATCCTCTGTATAGGGAGTAGGGTGCCTTGTCCTCTATATAGGGAGTAGAGTAGGGTGCCTTGTCCTCTATATAGGGAGTAGAGTAGGGTGCCTTGTCCTCTATATAGGGAGTAGAGTAGGGGTGCCTTGTCCTCTATATAGAGTAGAGTAGGGTGCCTTGTCCTCTATATAGGGAGTAGAGTAGGGTGCCTTGTCCTCTATATAGGGAGTAGAGTAGGGTGCCTTGTCCTCTATATAGGGAGTAGAGTAGGGTGCCTTGTCCTCTATATAGGGAGTAGAGTAGGGTACCTTGTCCTCTATATAGGGAGTATAGTAGGGTACCTTGTCCTCTATATAGGGAGTAGAGTAGGGTGCCTTGTCCTCTATATAGGGAGTAGAGTAGGGTGCCTTGTCCTCTATATAGGGAGTAGAGTAGGGTGCCTTGTCCTCTATATAGGGAGTAGAGTAGGGTACCTTGTCCTCTATATAGGGAGTATAGTAGGGTACCTTGTCCTCTATATAGGGAGTAGAGTAGGGTGCCTTGTCCTCTATATAGGGAGTAGAGTAGGGTGCCTTGTCCTCTATATAGGGAGTAGAGTAGGGTACCTTGTCCTATATATAGGGAGTAGAGTAGGGTGCCTTGTCCTCTATATAGGGAGTAGTGTAGGGTGCCTTGTCCTCTATATAGGGAGTAGAGTAGGGTACCATGTCCTCTATATAGGGAGTAGAGTGGGGTGCCTTGTCCTCTATATAGGGAGTAGAGTAGGGTGCCTTGTCCTCTATATAGGGAGTAGAGTTAGGGTGCCTTGTCCTCTATATAGGGGAGTAGAGTAGGGTGCCTTGTCCTCTATATAGGAGTAGAGTAGGGTGCCTTGTCCTCTATATAGGGAGTAGAGTAGGGTGCCTTGTCCTCTATATAGGGAGTAGAGTAGGGTGCCTTGTCCTCTATATAGGGAGTAGAGTTAGGGTGCCCTTGTCCTCTATATAGGGAGTAGAGTAGGGTGCCTTGTCCTCTATATAGGGATAGAGTAGGGTGCCTTGTCCTCTATATAGGGAGTTAGAGTAGGGTGCCTTGTCCTCTATATAGGGAGTAGAGTAGGGTGCCTTGTCCTCTATATAGGGAGTAGAGTAGGGTGCCTTGTCCTCTATATAGGGAGTAGAGTAGGGTGCCTTGTCCTCTATATAGGGAGTAGAGTAGGGTACCTTGTCCTCTATATAGGGAGTATAGTAGGGTACCTTGTCCTCTATATAGGGAGTAGAGTAGGGTGCCTTGTCCTCTATATAGGGAGTAGAGTAGGGTGCCTTGTCCTCTATATAGGGAGTAGAGTAGGGTACCTTGTCCTCTATATAGGGAGTAGAGTAGGGTGCCTTGTCCTCTATATAGGGAGTAGTGTAGGGTGCCTTGTCCTCTATATAGGGAGTAGAGTAGGGTACCATGTCCTCTATATAGGGAGTAGAGTAGGGTGCCTTGTCCTCTATATAGGGAGTAGAGTAGGGTGCCTTGTCCTCTATATAGGGAGTAGAGTAGGGTGCCTTGTCCTCTATATAGGGAGTAGAGTAGGGTGCCTTGTCCTCTATATAGGGAGTAGAGTAGGGTGCCTTGTCCTCTATATAGGGAGTAGAGTAGGGTACCATGTCCTCTATATAGGGAGTAGGGTATCTTGTCCTCTATATAGGGAGTAGAGTAGGGTCCCTTGTCCTCTATATAGGGAGTAGAGTAGGGTGCCTTGTCCACTATATAGGGAGTAGAGTAGGGTACCATGTCCTCTATATAGGGAGTAGGGTACCTTGTCCTCTATATAGGGAGTAGAGTAGGGTACCTTGTCCTCTATATAGGGAGTAGAGTAGGGTACCTTGTCCTCTATATAGGGAGTAGAGTAGGGTGCCTTGTCCTCTATATAGGGAGTAGAGTAGGGTACCTTGTCCTCTATATAGGGAGTAGAGTAGGGTGCCTTGTCCTCTATATAGGGAGTAGAGTAGGGTGCCTTGTCCTCTATATAGGGAGTAGAGTAGGGTGCCTTGTCCTCTATATAGGGAGTAGAGTAGGGTGCCTTGTCCTCTATATAGGGAGTAGAGTAGGGTACCTTGTCCTCTATATAGGGAGTAGAGTAGGGTACCTTGTCCTCTATATAGGGAGTAGAGTAGGGTGCCTTGTCCTCTATATAGGGAGTAGAGTAGGGTGCCTTGTCCTCTATATAGGGAGTAGAGTAGGGTGCCTTGTCCTCTATATAGGGAGTAGAGTAGGGTACCTTGTCCTCTATATAGGGAGTAGAGTAGGGTGCCTTGTCCTCTATATAGGGAGTAGAGTAGGGTGCCTTGTCCTCTATATAAGGAGTAGAGTAGGGTGCCTTGTCCTCTATATAGGGAGTAGAGTAGGGTACCTTGTCCTCTATATAGGGAGTAGAGTAGGGTGCCTTGTCCTCTATATAGGGAGTAGAGTAGGGTGCCTTGTCCTCTATATAGGGAGTAGAGTAGGGTACCTTGTCCTCTATATAGGGAGTAGAGTAGGGTGCCTTGTCCTCTATATAGGGAGTAGGGTGCCTTGTCCTCTATATAGGGAGTAGAGTAGGGTGCCTTGTCCTCTATATAGGGAGTAGAGTAGGGTGCCCTGTCCTCTATATAGGGAGAAGGGTGCCTTGTCCTCTGTATAGTGAGTAGGGAGCCAGTTGAGACACACCCTAACTAGTTACACAGTGACTTTACCCCAGGTGGGAAGGATCTCACATATCATTAATCGCAGGAGAGTGAACAAACAGGAAATACTGGTGGAGCAGAAGCAACCTTCAGACATGGCTGCCTTCGACCATTACATGTAGTCATTGTATGATACATCAGGAAGTGACTGAGGTGGGTCTACCTAAACCTGCCTACCTGCCTGTGTGAGTATGACACAACAAGAGTTGACTGAGGTGGGTCTACCTAAACCTGCCTACCTGCCTGTGTGAGTATGACACAACAAGAGTTGACTGAGGTGGGTCTACCTAAACCTGCCTACCTGCCTGGCAGCCATCCCCAGCTAGACAGAGCTCCAACATGGTGGAAGATGGCACCAAGAAAGGAGGAAGGTAGGTGTATTTTCATGTTTCATCCCATCTGTTTTTACTATAGTTTGATGTATTCAAATTCAAAGTAATAAAACAGTCATACTGAAGAAATTCGATAGATTGTATTGTTCCTCTGTGGAATGCAGGTGTTTGTAGGAGGTTGCTTAGTGCTCAATGCTCAGCTCAGATACAGACAAGGACGCAAGCTGTTCTGCTGTTCCTTTTAACATCAAACTAAGTATCATTCCAGGAAATAAAATGCACCATTGTTGACAATTGAATCCCACTGAGACCAATATCTATTTTACAAGGAAACACTACATACCAGGCAGCAGTGAATCACATATTATTTTAGCAGAATCAAAAAGTTGAAGAAGAAAATTAGGATTGTGAATATTATAATTATTTATGATCAAACAACATCGCATGCAAACGATTGCAATTTACAATACATCCCTGCTCTAGAAATAAATACAAGATAAATGTTACAATGCCAAACTACTATATATCTACACGGACATGTTCATACCAACATTTTTAAAACAGCCTCGACTTTACTTTGGTTAGGTCCCAAATGGCACCCTATTCCCTATATAGTGCACTACTTTTGACCAGAGCCCTATGGGAGGAAGGGAAGCTCTCATGTTCCATTCTTCTTCCAAAGAAATGTCAAGTCAAAGGACTGTGTACCTGTAGACAAGCACAATAATCAAAGTATGTATGAATGTGTAGATATGTCACTAATATAATGTATATACTGTATGAATATGTAGATATGTCACTAATATAATGTATATACTGTATGAATGTGTAGATATGTCACTAATATAATGTATATACTGTATGAATATGTAGATATGTCACTAATATAATCCTTCTTCATTTCATCTCTGTATGTCTCTCTGATTCACACACACACACACACACACACAAATACACACACAAATACACACACACACACAGTTCTATTATATACTATTTATTCAACTGCGTAACCATGACACTATCCACTTTATAATTGTAAATACAGTCACACATGACATAGCACATTCATAATCTAAACTCTGTATCATATTGTGTACTATATATACTACCTTCTAATGACTTGTTATTTTTGATTTGACTTGATTATTATTGATATGGATTATCGAACTGCTATGTTGAGGCACATAAACATTTCACTGCACCTTTTATACCTTTTGGAAACTCTCTCTCTCCTCCCAGTCAGGAGATGGCGGCAGGCAGGAGATACTGCGGCTGGTCACGCTTTCGCTGCTGTTTCCTCATCCTGCTCCTCACAGCGATGGCCTTCTTCTTCTTCAGCGACCGGTCAACAGAGTGGGCCACTTCACTAGACTGGGCCCCAAGATGGTGGACAGAATACCGTGGTGGTTCAGCCAACAGATCTGGTTCTACCAACACCACTAGTGCAGTAGTTTCTCCAAACTCCACTGCCTTTTCCATAGACGCTCATGAAACTGGATCTGCCAATTCAACAGATCATCAGACTTCACTTACCAACTCTACTCAACAGGCCATCAAACTCAATCCAACACATAATGAAACTGGTGCCATCACGACTGCACTGACCATCACCACTAATCTGATTACAGAGGTCAAGGCAGTTCTTGCCACTGGACTGGCCACTCCTGTTCCATATGTGTCCCCAGGACCGTACCATGTAGAATACCCATCAGAGTACCACTTCATCCTGGATGAGCCGGAGAAATGCCGGGAGCAGAACCCCTTCCTGGTTCTGGTGGTGCCAGTGGCGCCCTATAACAGGGAGGCTCGTGACGCTGTCCGCAGTACTTGGGGCAGTGAGAGGCAGGTACTGGGAAAAGAGGTCCGTCTGTTCTTCCTGCTGGGACTTCCCAGTGGAGAGAGGACAGAGCAGCTCCAGGAGAAGGTGCTGCAGGAGAGCAAAGAGCACCAGGATCTGCTGCAGAGCGACTTCATAGACAGCTACAAAAACCTGACCATCAAGACCATGGTGACGATGGAGTGGCTGAGCTCTCGCTGCCCCAACGCCTCCTACGCCATGAAGATCGACTCAGACATGTTCCTCAACGTGAACACCTTGGTCAACATGCTGCTTCACGCTCCAAAGCAGAACTACCAGACTGGACTAGTGGCCCAATGGGGAGCCGTTCTAAGAGACCATAACTCCAAATGGTACCTTCCAAAGGAGGTGTTTCCTGAGAACATATACCCACCTTATGCTCTGGGCCTGGGCTATGTCTTCACCTTAGACCTCCCCAGGAAGCTGGTGGAGGCGTCCAGGCATGTTAAAGCCATCTACATAGAGGATGTGTATCTGGGACTGTGTATGAGACACCTGGGCATTCGTCCTACTAACCCCCCCAATGGAAACCTCTTCCAGGTTTTCCCTGTGGTTTATGACCGCTGCACCTATTCACGGCTGATAGCCACCACCACACACAGTATCACTCACCAGGTCAAAGCATGGAAAGACTTACACAAACCTGGTCCTCCCTGCTGATCACGTACACTAACAAACTGACTGATGTACCAATCACTTCCTCATTGTTTGTTCATACACTAACTAACTAACAAACAAAAAACGAAGAAGGTGGCGCCTCCAGGGGGATGGGGAAAGGATATATAGCTTGGTGAAGAACATTGACAACCTGAATGGCCAGTTTCTCCGCGTTATTTTTCTCTGAACCCAGGCAGACACCATGCTGCAATTGCCTTCTTAACAAAGACTGAGAGCAGCAGGTATCTGTCTAACATGGACATGGTGACGGACTGGACAGGACTAAGAAATGGATAGTAATCCTGCAGCAACAGGACATGTGAATTATTATGTGGATTATAATTAATGACATTTTTTGTAAGGGGTTGATACATTTTTCTTGAGGGCAAATCAAGTTTGAAATGTTAAAGGGGTAATTACAAACCTTAGAAGCCTTTTTAAACCACTACAACTGGCATTTCCTGCCCTGCAGGAAAAATTCTCTGCGACAACAGAGTGATCAAATAGATAGCAGATCTGCATCAGTTAGTGGTGGAAATAAGTAACAGGGGACTGTGAAGGATAGGATGAAGGGTGTTATTTGGGACCAGGCACTGTCCCCAAAGTCACAAGTCAAATGTCCCCAAAGTCACTTAGCTTTGTATGAGTTGTTCAGTTTATTATGTGGTGGAAGGTTTAATCGACCTATCAGGAAGAGATGATGCTACCTCGCATTCATTTTGCACTTCGCAGGGAATGTGGTTTGGCTGCATTGAAGACAGCTGAGACAGCACACTGGGGCATAACTAGCACTTCCTCCTTTGTTCATTATTATTTTTTTAGCAGATGCTCTCATGCAGAGCGACTTACAGTAAGTGCATACATTTTTTTTTTTTTTCATACTGGCCCCCCCGTGGGAATCGAACCCACAACCCTGGCGTTGCAAGCGCCATGCTCTACCAACTGAGCTACACGGGACTTGTTCTTGCCATAGATGTCATCTGATGACTTTGTAATGCATTTCCACTTTGATTAAACTGTTTAATAATGATGATGATGATGATGATGTTACTGAATTTGGATTAGAAGACCATTTACACACACACTTCCAATATTTATCTGCCCAAAGGTCCTGTTGAGCAGCTGATGTTTAGGCTGCAATGTGGTTAGATCAGGGCTGATGTTTAGGCTACAATGTGGTTAGATCAGGGCTGATGTTTAGGCTACAATGTGGTTAGATCAGGGCTGATGTTTAGACTATAATGTGGTTAGATCAGGGCTGATGTTTAGGCTACAATGTGGTTAGACCAGGGCTGATGTTTAGGCTACAATGTGGTTAGACCAGGGCTTGAACAAAAGCCTGCACACCCAGTAGCTATCCTGGAGGATGGTTGCCACCCTTTGACATTGTAAAGAAAGGGACAGGGAAAGGGGGAAAAAACTCAAACGTTTAATGATGATGATGTTACTGAATTTGGATCAGAAGAGAGTTTACACGCACACTTCCAATCTTATCTCCTTTGTGGTGCTGGGAGTTACTGGCCCAAAACAATATACGTTGGAGAAAAAGGTATTGTACCGAAACGTCCACCACAACAAATGTGTGGAGGTACAATCTTGTGTGCAGGAGTTATTTATATTTTTCTACTGTTTTTTATTTATTTTTAAAAAGTTATTTTATACTGTATTATATTTTATTGCCATACTGTATATGAAGAGTAATTTTACAACTTGAATAGTTCTCTCATCATTATTGTTACAACTATCTATCCATGCTCATAGTTATATATGGTCAGGAGAAGGTTTATAAGATGATATGGTTTATATTTATAAGGTGTATAGACTAGTCTCCAATAGAAATCCTCAATCCCACTTGTCATGGCGACTTTGGCTAGCTAAACTCATGCATAGAAACACGTCTTCGGGTCGAATGGTCGTCTCGCGCCGAACTGCGCATGTGCAGGCCGTTAAATCAAAGGTACTCCTTCGATATAAAGTTGTTTTTGACGAAAGCGAAAACGTGTCAGTTTGTCACTTTCAAGAGGTTGGAGTAATAACAAGTTCAACTACTTAAGACATTGGCTCCAATCCAGGTTGTGCTTTTAGATTTCACAAAAATTAACAACCAAGGAATAATTTGTCACTTCTCTCATTGACTTCTCATACCAAAAACCCCGGCCTTGTCTGTTTCGCAAGCGTTCCCGGAAGTCTTGCGATGTTGCGCCTCTGGGTTTAGAAACTGTGACAGCTTATCAATGGCCGAGATTCACACACAGAGGCAAAAAAAAAGTTGATAAAAGAGGACTGAAGGCGGGATCTGCATTGAATAGCAATTTGAGCCTTATATATAAACATGTCTAGTTAGATACCTAGCTTTCAAGTTGCCTACCAAATCCATTAAAAAAAATGTATTTTTTTACCAGGCAAGTCAGTTAAGAACAAATTCTTATTTACAATGACGGCCTACACCGGCCAAACCTGGACGACGCTGGGCCAATTGTGCGCCGCCCTATGGGACTCCCAATCACGGCCGGTTGTGATACAGCCTGGAATCGAACCAGGGGGTCTGTAGTGATGCCTCAAGCAATGAGATACAGTGCCTTAGACCGCTGCGCCACTCGGGTGTCCCATTTGATCCCTGATTCATTGAATGAGGGAGTAATTTGATCAAGACAAAAGTATTTAGTTACAATGTTGCAATATTTAATATCAAGGGTGGCAACCATCCTCCAGGATAACTACTGGGTGTGCAGACTTTTGTTCAAACCCTGATCTAACCACATTGTAGCCTAAACATCAGCCCTGATCTAACCACATTGTATCCTAAACATCAGCCCTGATCTAACCACATTGTAGCCTAAACATCAGCCCTGATCTAACCACATTGTAGCCTAAACATCAGCTGTTCAACAGGACCTTGAAAAGCAGTTTTTCAGGGCTGGATCTAAAGCCTGCACACCCAGCAGCTCTCCAGATGGAGGGTTGACCACATGTTGACAACAGTGTAGTTCTACTTTGTGGAGGGTTAAGTGCCTTGATCAAGGGCACAACGGCAGGAGATGGTAGGCCTACATGGGATCAGACACAGCAGCCTTCCACTGTCAATAATGTAGGCTAAATAATAGTCATGAAAGTTGGTTAAAAGTCATGAAGAAGTCATGGAAAATCTGTATGAACCCTTAACAGTGAATAATCACAGGTCTCTATAGCATAATGTCATTTGTGTATTTTGGTGAACATAGTCTAATGGACTGACTTGGAAAAAGACAGATCCTCCACTTCTTTCATCGCAAGTCAAGCACTGCGCACACACACACACACACACACACACACACACACACACACACACACACACACACACACTGTACTATCATGCCAACTTCTTGTCAGTCATTGATGTCATGCCAAACATCTGGTAAATTGGCCTAACTTAATAACCTACCTAGTTAACATGGACTAGTTGATCAACTGGACATATTGTAGTTATAATGGCCTGATTACGTGCCCAGCGGCCTCGACCCCGAGGAGGCCCTCATTGATTTTGTTGAGTCACTCAGGTATCATGAACACACATAAGACATGGTAACATGTGTGAAATTGCATGGAAATTCGCTTTAAAACTGCAGAATTGTCTCTACACCACATGGCAAAATGTGTAGAATTGCAGGGCATAAGCTTTAAAACAGTAAAATGTTCTCTCCACCAACAAGATGGGTGTAGCATTTTGAACTGTTTGGGTCACATGGGTTGCGATGTGGGGGTTTGTTACTACACTGATAAATAACAGCAATATCCTTCCAGACCTTTGCCACCTAGGAAATATGTGACCGGACATTCTAAAATAGTAGTTGTCCTATGTTACTCCTCCTTAGCCTGGTGGAAGCAGCCGGGTTGGTAGTGAGTCGATAGCCTGGTGGAAGCAGCCGGGTTGGTAGTGAGTCGATAGCCTGGTGGAAGCGGCCGGGTTGGTAGTGAGTCGATAGCCTGGTGGAAGCAGCCGGGTTGGTAGTGAGTCGATAGCCTGGTGGAAGCAGCCGGGTTGGTAGTGAGTCGATAGCCTGGTGGAAGCAGCCTGGTTGTTAGAGTGTGTGGGAGGAGAGAGACAAAGGTATGTCTGTTACAAGGTGGCCCACACACTTTCAACATTTAGATAATCAAGTATTTGACATTTCCATTGTGTTAAAGATGGGTGATTGGTTGATTTCCAGTTTAGTATGCGTTTTTTCAAGATGATTGACGAGAAACGTATTGTACCAACTCATCAGGTATCTCACTGCACCCTCATATGCCATGTCTTGAAATATTCAGACAGACGCACTAAAAGTACATTTACATTGTAATACTTCTGACAGCCAACTTCCAGAAGGCATGGATTATTGAGACCTTGTTAGTTTTACACTTAAAGACATGACTCTGCTGTTGTGCTGTAGAATTTGTGAATTTTGTCTCGTGTAATAAATTCTATACATTAGTTTATGCTGGATTAAGTATAAATTGTCATTAACTACAATTCTGTTAGTTATGTTCCAACATTCCCTTCATCTTGTACCAATATCAGTTATTTATATGTCTTGGTTACAATAGTTTATATTTATTTCCAAGAGATTGTCAGTTGGATAGTCTCTCTGCAAGGTTTTGTACAGCTTACTTATCATATGAATATTCCTTTTCCGACTCAAATAGGATTCCCTCAAGATTGCTCTGATGTCCAAAAGATTTCAAATCGAAATGTCTTGATATGAAACTCTTAAGTTGCACGTATTTGAAAATATATACATTGGTCAGTCCAAAATTGCTTTTTTTTTATTCTGTCATGGAAATAAATGTATTTCCTATTACCAAGTCATTTACGATTTCTACGCCTTTAGTTTTCCATGTGGACCAATTTAAATCGGTGAATTCTGAAAAGCTATCCAAGGATGGTTCCATAGGGGTGTGTTTTTAGGGAGTGATATTGGTTCTTGTAGAATACGTCTCATCTTCTTCCATATTGTTATAGTGTTCTTAACTATGAAGTTATTAATGTTCTTAGCTTTATCCTTTGACAATAGACAATATTGACAATATTCTGGGGATGAGCATGCGCCTCTTCAATATGTTACCCATTGTTCCTCTTTAGTGCATTGAACTATATGTCACAAGTAAAAGCGCTGGGTGGCGAGTTGATACAATTCTACGTCTGGAAGGTTAAAACCACCCTCAGCCAACCGATATAGCGCTAGAGATAGCTCTATCGGCTGTGTCGGTCCGCTAATACAGAACTAGTAAAGGCCCAGTGCACTACTTTTGTGATTTTTAAATATTGTTTTCTATTATTAATATTGTTTTTTAATTCCGTTTTTTCAGGGGATGCTGCAGCAA